TGACAAGGAGACACCTTCATGCAATTCAAAGTCAGGGGAGATCCTTTGGTGGGGGCGGGACTTAAATGCGCCTTGTCTCTATAGAGGGTTAGACTGGAATTGCATTCCTGGGCAACAGCTTGGGTCCCTGTTTACTTCCTGTCAGCAGATGTCATTAATGTACACTGCAAACATTCCAACAGGAAATAAAAAGTTGCCCATTTAGAAAGTTTAATTTTGAAACAGTCTGTAAAGTTGTGACATCACAAATTCATGGAAATCCTGACGGCTTGTTTAAATGCTCAGTTTTCTGATAACGAGCTGTGTGCAATTCTCTGTGGACTGTGGGTTTCGATACTTTCACAGTATTTATAAAGCACCTTTACCGGCTTTGTATTAAATAAGACATGGATATTTTACTTTTTACAATATGGGACCTTTAAGACGTTATTTTTTTAATTATTCCCATAGTTATACAGCATTTTAGTATAGAAATGGACTGAATATGTATTCTTGGCTGTAGAAAAATACTTTTTTTTTCTATATTAGGTACCATAAGTGCAGTGGAGGTATGCCATTAATGACCTGCTAGCATGCCCATGGGAAGAAACATTAGACAAAAGAACTTGCCGGAAACACTAAGCGGGCTACCCCGATGTCTCTGTGGGCAGTCTAAAAATACCACTGTGCCTCTTTCAGATATTGAAGCCGGGTGATGACATATAGTTGGCAGACCTTCGATCACTTTCCCCAAACTCCCACCAGAGTTGATGTTCTTTTCACATGCTGTCGCAAATGGAAATCTTTATTTGCCTTGTATTTGAAAGGGTCGACTTTCTCTTCAGTGTTTCATTATCCAAACAAGTCAGTCTGCACTTCTGTCACCCGCTGTACTTGTTGCATGTCCTTCAGTTTGCCCCGATATTTTCAGCCACAAGTGTCTCTCACTTCCAAATGAATCATATACTTTCCCCCCTGTGTGATTTGCGGACAGATGCCCCAGCATATGCATTCTTTGGTGAGAATAGTTTGCCTATTTTTATGTGCTTTTCCTTCAGACTTGGGATGATTTTAAAAAGGTTTTATTGTGGTCATCGAGCTCCATTTCACTCACGGCTTCATCTCAAAATTCATTGAGTAGTTGTAAAGGGAAAATCCCGATGACATGTCCTTGGTTTTCAATCTCCTTTCTAATATCCGAGCCTCATCTCCTGTGTGTGTGCCTGCCGCTTAGACTCCAATCAATCTTCAGATCGCCTCTTTTCAAGGGATCCTGTAGTGATTGCAGTTTTCTCCACCCTGCTGGTGCGTTCACATTATAAGTGAAACTGTTCCAGGGGTAAAGAGGTTAGCTCTTGTATGATTATTTCTCAGCTAAGGAGATAGCAGGAGCATTTTTCATGGAAATGCTTTTGAACTCAGCAAAAAGGGTTCTGGGTACGCCCACGTAGGAAATTGTTTTACTCTGGGTTTATAATTACATGGTCTACAGCTCTGTGTAAGCAATTGTCCTTCATTAGATGTTCATTTATGCAAATGTTAAATTACATAGCAGAGTAACAAAAGCAAGGCTCTCTTTGGGGGCAAGGCAGTTTTTGTCTTTAAAAAAAGGAAACATTTGAGCCCAAACAAAGAATCATTTACACATTTGACAGCTTTTTTGACAGCCTGGAAACAGTCACTGCACTGTAGAAGAAATGGGCTGCTTTCATTGTTCTGCGTGTGCTTTCTGAAGTGTTGGAGTGAAAGTGATTTTTTTTTTTGTGAAGCTGTGAGAAGAGTTAGTCAGGCCTTTGAAATGAACAACAGACATCATGTTGCCTTTGTTTCCTCTCTTCAGCGCGATCACACGTCGTTGTTTTGGTGATGTCATCAAACACTTTTCGAAAAATGTTCGCATGAGGAAGTGCTTTTAGGATTTGTCGGGGCTGTGGGTTCACTGCAGTTATTCCAATTAGTGCAGTGTGCACAGTATGTAGGCACAGAAAGCTTACTTAGCATTATCTCCCCTGCATTTTCCATACTGTATTTAGATAAGTAAACAAGCACTTACTTAAATAATCAAAGACTTTCTAAACATGGATAGAACTTTGTGACACCACCCACTGTTTCCATCCACCTCTTTTATGCACATTTTTAATCTGTGCATAAAATAAAAACCTGAATGTGAATGGCAAAAGTTAAAAAAAAGTCTCCAAGTATCACAAAAACGTTTTTGCGCCTGGGAGAGGTAGAAAGTTGGTGTATCGGTAAAAGGTGAACTGTCATTGCATAGGCCACTGCAAGCTTTCTTTGGCGTCTCTAGATGGCTTTTATTACGCTTATGCCCACAGCACTGAACTCTTCCAAGAGTGAATAGCTGTAATATTATGTGTTCAATATGCCCCCGCCACCGTTGATCTCGACAAACCAACTCTCAATATTTACACAACAGTGGTGCACAAATTTGCATTTTCCTTTGCCGATTTCCTGAAAAATTTGGTTAAAATTTGCACTACATTTGGATGGAAAACCAGCTTTGATGACAGATTGAAATCCACTCAAGTTGTGGGGGATTTGAGGCTGGCAGCAAGCATTAGATGATCCAGACAGAGTAATGGGAGGTAGAAGAGTTTTTCAGGGGCTCCTCTTGTTAGTGGCCACACGATCCTCTTGTTCCTTTGGGAGTCGGCGCGCGGTCGGTAGGAGGAATGTGCTCCCGGCTGGAAAAGGTTTGCAGAGCACAGAGAGGTCCTCCTGGCCTCCAGCTCTACTAAGGAATGGGCAAAAGCAGCCATAGAAACTCAATCTACCTCTCCAGCTGGCCTCTTATAGCTGGTCGAGAAGTAAGATCTGATGACGATGAAGAACAATGGAGTAATGATTGGGCACAGATTGGTAAGATCGCCCACGACTAGTTGGACTATGATGCAAATGTGTTAATTCAGCTGTAGGTGTTTCCCATTCATGTGCTCGGAGTAGTTGTTGCAGAGCGGGTTAGGAGGTTACACCCCTCCTTCTTTCTCTGTGTTCCTTGATTCTCTGCTTGTCAACCACAGCGCGTTCGGTACCCGCCTGCTTCTATAGGCAGGAGACCATCTGAGAGTCAAACCTCAGTGCACGGCAACTCAGGAAGCCAAGGCTGTAAACGCGGTGGGCTTCTGAGTGAGTGGCACTGGCTTTTGTCTGTGTGCTTCGCTGCCAGAAAAATCTGGTGTGGTTTTGAGGCAATATATAATGTATCTGGCCTCGCTGGCTCCACCGCACTGTGCAGTGGAAAAAGAGCGCACTTGTCTCCAAAACGGCTTTGAGATGTAATTGAACCATAATGCCTCTTATGTGAGCATCTTGTGGCGGAATGAAGATCTCGCTTGACAAATGGGCCAGAGAAAATAAACTGGCATATCTGAGTCATGAAGTGGAGAGTTGGGCTACGGACTCTTAAGCTGGCCAGTGGAGAACTGGAGCCTGCGTCGGTCTGACTGGAGAAGCTGGAGAAACCCAATCATCTGTTCACTGACATCTGAGGCATTTCTATTATATCCCAGCTGATTATTTCTATGCCCCTTTCAACATCCTGAGGCCAGGTAGTATTTATTTCCCTTAGATCCATCATAAGATGGGCTATTTCTGCTCGCTTTTCTCAGAGAGGGAGGATTCATTTTGTGATTTGATGAATGCTGCAATCCCCGCTGCGCTACACCAATCTCCCCATGAGCTTTCTGATATTGAGGGACTCAGTTGCCAGGGTGAAGTGTTATGCTTAAGAGCCTCAGAACGGCTTAAGAGGCAGTTCATTACTCTTGAGTCAACTGCTTTTTTGTTCCATTTTTCTCACCTTTGTTTATTTTACTCACAGATCAAATGAATCATTTTCTCGTCATGCTGTCTGTCGCTCCCTCCCACCTCTCCTCCACCCATTTCTTTGAACCGACTGTGTTAATTGTGACTGCCGTGACGACACATTGCCACCCGGTGCTCTTGTCTTGTTATCACGTGTCATGTCCCATCTATCACGCCTTTAATTACAACACCTCTGTTCTGCGATTGCCAACCGTCACGTCTCTGCGGAGGCTCATTCTGTTGCCTTCAAATCATCTGCGCCGACTTCTCCCGGGTTGAATGCAGCAGAGGCCTGTCACTCTGTCAGACACCTCAGAATGTTACAGAAAAGATGGGAAAAACATTGAACATTTAAGGACTCCTGTAGAGAGAAACGTGTCTTCCCTTTTTCCCCCCTCCCTTGACCCCTGCTGGCCGTCCTCCTCAGCCACTGACACGCACAGCTTGTGGCTGATGTAGCAGCATTAGGTTAGGTCACGCAGGTTCATCCCTGACGGAGGGGAGGCTGAACCAGCCCCTTACTCAGCCTGCAAAGACAGGTTGAAAGCACACATTTGTTGTTGAGAAATGTTTTCAGCCGTGGACATATCTCTCTGTTTTGCTGCGTCGTCCCCAGACAAACCCTGAGCTGCCATGTCGATTGTCACCACAGGACGCCTTCTCTCCGAGCTGCATTTTGCCAACATGGCGTTCCCCTACTGCGTGCCCGTATTTGTTTGTGGTTAAAGGGCGTGGTGCTCTTGCTTAATCCCCCGAGTCCACAGCTGTAAGAGCTGTGGCTGCGGTGGCAAAGCTGCCCAGAGCTCAGAGCTCGCCCTCTGATTTTCTGTTTGTGAATGCCACATGACCGCACTCTCTCGGGGTAAAGCTGTAAGCAAATGCAAAGTTTCATTTCATGGCAACCTATATTTTCTGCTTCGTCCGCACTGGTAAAGAATAGCTTTACATCCTCCACAGAGAATCCGCTGTGCATTGCCATTAGAAATAGTGTATACCATAAACGCTGGTTCAGAGGTAGCACTTTGATTGAATGTGGCAGGGCGGAAAGTGGTCAGGCAGTGAAGCAGTGTGACATTAATTGAATTGACAAAAATGTCCGAGTTCAGTACTGTATCAAATATTGATTTGATCCTTCCATCTAAAGTATGTACATTGTGTTTTTTGTGTCCTTCTCTGACCTTTATTTGTTCTCTTTACAGCCGTGCAATCAAGACTAATCAGGACCTGCTTCCAGAGACCCCATGGACTAATATCTTCTACGATGACTTCTGGGGCACCTTACTCACACACAGCGGCAGCCATAAGTCTTACCGGCCCCTCTGCACCCTCTCCTTCCGCCTAAACCATGCTGTGGGTGGGCTGGAGCCCTGGGGTTACCACCTGGTTAACGTGGCCCTCCACGGAGCCGTGACAGGCCTGTTCACCTCCCTGGCTCGCCTGCTGCTCGGAGGAGGCCTGTGGAGCCTGCTGGCGGGCCTTCTCTTTGCCTCTCATCCCATCCACACCGAGGCGGTGGCGGGTGTCGTGGGCCGGGCTGATGAAGGCGCTGCCCTGTTCTTCTTGCTGTCCCTGCTGTGCTACATGCGTCACTGCAAGCTGCGGGGCCACGCCGGGCCCTGGCGGCTCCTGGCCTGGTTCCTGGGCAGCCTGGGCTGCGCTGCGTGCAGCATGCTGTGGAAGGAGCTCGGAGTGACCGTCCTGGCCGTGTCGGCGCTGTACGATGTGTGTGTTTTCCACAAGCTCAAACTGCGACAAGTCATCATGCTCCTCTACAAGGTAAACAGTTTGTTCTCGCCCCACAGTGCTGCTTTTCCACATGTATTTCCTGCACCCGCTCCCTGAATCTGCCAAACGGAATTGGAAAGCTGATATGTATAGGTGTGCGCTTTGTGTGCACTATGTGTTTTTTGTTTGCAAAATAATTTGAAAAACATTTGCGAATGTATCCACAGCTGTGTCATTCGGGTCAGATTATCATGTTTTCCATTAAATCCAAGGAAACACATGTTGGGAAAGGAAAGCAAACAGAGTCATTTTTCTGTCTGTGTAGAAGGCGCAAACACTACTGCTGTTTTATAGCTATTCCCATAAATGATTATTAATGCATCTACTGATAGGTAATCTGAGAGGAATGTAATTGATCATTATGGTAAAGAAAAATCATTATAGTAATCGGTAGGAGGGAGTTTTATTGCTTAATTCTTTCTGCCTCGGGGGAAAACTCACTCTAATAGGCTAAATTCTAAACATCAAAATTAAGATCCAGTTTAACCAATAAGAAGTTAATTAAACCAAACCCGAAGTGACAATGAGTAGCTAACTGCTCATTGGCCCATTAGTGTTTATCACTCTAAAACAGATGATGTCTTTCTAAAACATAATGATGAGAAGTGAGCTGTTTGCCACGATACACATTACAGCACTGGAACAAATCACTTTATGTCTCAGGGTCTTTCTTCTTTCATATATATATGAGAGTGTGTGTGTGTTAGTATCTGTGTGTGTGTGTGTGTGTGTGTGTGTTTGCTTGTATATTCACATTGCGTACGGCAAGGTAAAGCGAAGAAAATGAAAACATTTTTCAAAAGAAATAGCTGAGATAACAAAAAGTAATGTCCATTTTATATTGTCTTGTTGCTTTTGAAGGATTCAGCTATCAAGTAGCCCGTTTTCGCCAACAGCTCCTGTCAGAAGTATTTACTGTTTGCCGTCTAGTCAATGTGACATCCACAACTCTCAACCCATCATAACAAATTCAACAAGACGTGTGCACAAACGTGACAAAAGGGCTCCGGAGCAGCCAATGAAAGGGTGGCTCTCTCACACGCCCCGGCAAAGAACAACACTTAAAGATATGCCGCGGGGGAGAGGAGGGATGGGGTCAGCTAGAGAAGAGGCAGAAACTTTGAGATAGAAAGACTGCGAAAAAATGTTTTAATTGAAGAGCAAGTCTACCCCCTCCCTTTCATTGCTCAGCACAGTGTGGAAATGAAGAGTGAGGGCCTCTGCTGCTGTCCTCTCCACGCTGTCCTCTCATGATTTAAGCCTTATCTGACTCCCTGTGTCCTCTGGAGTATGGCCCATCCATTGCCGCAGGCAGACAGGCCTTCTAATGGCTTGTCAGGCATGGCTAGACTAGAGAGGAAACAGGGCCAAGAGGGCCGAGGGAGATGATGCCTCATAGCTGACAGTTTTTCAAGTTTTTGATCGAAAATCCACAAAGCCTGCTGATCCAATTGTCTTTGGGAAAAAAAATACACGCAGACTGGCAGATAGTTACACTTCTGGCATGGAGCGAGCCCTACAGATTTCTTTCATGGCTTGCCATCGTGGTTAACTAACTTGGCCAGCGTCTCCGGGGGCAGATGTGTTCTGCTACAGCACAGCGCGGCACATCCAGTGTAGTTTCTGAATTCCAGAGTGCTAATGCTGATAAAGGTTTTTTCTCTGATGCTGTGTAGTTTTTGTGTAACAGTATTATTGATTGTCATAATTGAGGCACAAAAAGCAAGATTTAAAAGTCTTAAGATGTTTCTTGAAGGAATTTAAAATTCTAAGTCTCATGGCAAACATTTATGGGAAAGTTGATCCACAGTTTTGGTCAGTAGTGAGTCAAGGGTTCCTCTCCATATTTCTTTGTCTTCATTGTTGGTATGCATTTAATGTTCTAGTGTTACATTACCCTTAGAAGACAGGAGCTGGGAGTGTAGAGCAAGTTAAGTATAGATGTGATAAACCATTCAGACCTGTATGAACTAGTTATAAGATTTAAAGGAGACAGGGAGCCAGTGTTAAGATGCTAAAATCTTTTTAAATTCTTGGGTTGTCCAGTTAAAAGGGCAACGCAATAGTCAAGACAAGAGAAGACCAACGCATGAATCTCTGTGCATCACAAAGTGCAAGATAGCATGATCTGATATATTTTCAAGGTTGGAAAATATTTGCCACTGATGGAACCTGTGTTGCCAGATGTTTAAAGCCTTTTAAAATTCTTCAACAGCAAGTTAAGTTAAATGTAGTCATATAGCCCCAAATCAGAAATTAGCCTCAAAGATTTACACCCTTTATCCTAAGCCCCCTGTGATGTTAGAAATTCTTCAGCCATTTCTAGTCAAAGCAGTGTCCCAAGAGATTTCATCACTAAAGTCATTTGTAAGATTCACAGTACTAATGATTTCATTGTTGATACTGAAACGTTAGCAAAATATATATATATATATATATAAATATATATTTACTAAGGTAAATGATGAATGACCCTTGACACCAACCCCTGCCTTCCTTTAACAAAATGATAACGTAGAAGGCTGCTAGCATACGCCCTTATTTTTTAAAATTGTACACTGCAGCTAGGGGTGGGGGAAAATGGATACAGCATAGTGTCACGATATTTTGCGTGGCGATATTGTATCAATACATGGGTTCCAAGTATCGATCTTTTATTATATACATCATCATCATCAATACAACTTTTGATACAAGAATAATAAAATCAATCGCTTTTTCAGTCCACTAGATGGTGCTGATGTTTTTTTTCCTGGTGATGTCGGCAGAGGTCTTATTTAGCAGCATTTGGCAAGAAGTTCATCAAAACGGAAACGTGCCATCGGCATTTCAATCAAACGTCTGGACTTACGTTTTTTTTGTTAACATGGAAGGATAGAAGGACTTGGATATAACACATGCAATTTGCAAGCAGTGTCATATGAGAATATTCTGGGAATACTACAAACACTAAGTCACACTGGATTAAACACTGCAGACCTTTTGCAAAAATGCAGCACAAGAATGGGGGATTGTGGTTTTATGAGAGTTTTGGTCAGTCTCTCTGCTTTGCATCACTTTTTGCTGCAATAAAGATGATTGAAGTCAGATGAGCAGAGTGAAAACTTTTTTTATGAGGTAAAATTGATGTTGACAGAGTTTTCCTTTGGGGAAATAATTTGCAGTTGGGAAATAAGGTAATAAATTGCAAAATATTGTATCGCAATACTCAGCATATCACAATATCGCAATAATATTGTATAGTGACTTAAGTATCGTGATAATATCGCTATCATGGGTCCACCCCTAACTGCAGCCATCCTAGTCCAGTCTTGTGCACAATTAAATGTGGAGGGAAAAAAGCCAATATCATGTTCAACAAGTTTAAAGTGAACCAGCAACAAACTCTGGTATAATGACCAAATCTACTAACACACTAGTTAGAGTCTGAAAAGAGAAATAGTATTCTTTTGCAGCTAAGAGGAAAACTCACAGTGGGTTACTCTGCATTGAGGAAACAAATAAGGAACTGCGTGGGTTGTCAGGCGCTTTTGGAAACACTCTGCAAAACAACAAACTGTTCATTCTGTTTGGAAAAGACTGTAAAGCAGCACATTTTTCCATATGGCTTCAAATTCCTGACATGCAGCTTTAAGCTGACAATTGTCATTATCCTAGCTTGTCATTTAGTCGCACCGCAGACAACATAAAAGGACGCACGGACAGAGAACTGTCATCATCACGTCAATCATGTTAACTTGGGAGGTTTCTTGTCCGCCTGTAATGTAACGGCGCTCTGTGATCATAGATTCATATGCATGAGTGTTGTGTGCATCGTGTCCACTACGGCAGCGTACACATTCATCTCTCTTTGTCTCTGCGGAGGGAGGCGGTCACTTTGACTGATGATAAGCAAAGGGAGTTATTCCTCAGGGCGAGTTGTGCCTTCAGCCGCCTGCATGATCATTAGTTGTGTATGGAGCTGAAAATCACAGTGACAATAAATACACCTCCCTACCTCCAGTTACGGCTCCAAACTTGGTCACCCACGCTGAAGTGTATGAATGGAGAAGCAGCGCTGTAACATTAATGTTCTCTGATAAGAGGGAATTGCATAAAAGCATGACAAAGTAACTGTCACCATGTCGCAACTTTCTCTTTGAGTACATGAAACCCATTCTTCAGTTGGACTAAAGAGCCCGGTTTGCCGCATGACTGACAGGCCACGGTGGGCCGACGCTGCTTTTTATCACCGAGCTCTCTGCTCAGCTGCAGTCATCTGACATTTAACGTTGGAAATGGTGAAATGGGCCTTCTTATCTGATTGTGGCGCGCAGTCAATTACATTAGAGTTTTATATCTGCTGCAAATCTCCCATTGTGTCATTACGGCTTCTGTGTGCGGTTTGAAGGTTGTAGGCAGGCGAGACGGGGAGCTTCACTGTAATTCCATGTAGGTTCATAACTCATTTCATCGGGACCTTAACTGTAGACACTCTGCATAGAAATCAGAGGGAAGGAGGTAATGCATGGATATTATCTTGATTTATTGGTTATATGTTGCATAGCGGAGCTTGGAAGAGGAGAAGCATGGGCTGCAATTACCCATATGTAAAAAATAAACCCAGAAAACAATCGCTTTAAGGATAAATAATTGTTTAAAAAGAGGGATCTTACATTAAAGCATGCTGTGTTCAAATTAGGTCAGAATATATTGTCAGTTTGAATACACCATAATTACTTTGTGTACTGTGCATGAGTCTCCTCTCGCAGGCTTTTGTCTGTGTGATGTCAGCTTCAGAGCTTACATGGATCCAGTTCTTCCATTCATCAAATGTAATTGTCCCTGGGCAATACAAAATCCTTAAAGGGATTAGACAAGTGCATGCCAACTTTATAATCTCCACTAGATTCTGTGAATATTATTCAGTGCATTCAGCGTAAAAGCTAATACAAGTTGACTACTTCTGCTCGTGTTCATGTCAGCGGCACAGGAACTTCTCCAGCTGAAAG